GCTTTGATTCCTGACCTTCACTGCAGAGAACCTCCTTCTCGGAGGTGCTGTGGAAGATTACGAATATCTCAATAAAAGCAGACGCGAGGTAGATGGTGTTGATGATCGAGAGGAGTGGTCGGCTCTGAAAGGCGCCCTGGACACCGTCGGTTTCACTACCGCCGAGCAATTTGATCTCTTCCGCATCGTCGCCGCTGTTCTGCACATTGGCAACATCGTCATCACGTCCACTCGGGCAGACGACGCTGTCATGCCAGATCCATCCCAGGCCGAACGAGTGTGTCATCTGCTGGGAATCCCAGTCGCCGAATTCCAACGCGCCGTCCTGCGCCCGCGCACCCTGGCAGGTCGCGAATGGGTCTCCCAAGCGCGCACAAAGCAGCAGGCCCTCGAAGAGCTCGGCTCTCTCTGCAAGACCCTCTACGAAAAGTCCTTTGGTGCCATCGTCGACCGCATCAACGTCGCGCTCGACCGCCCCTCTTCCAAATCCACCTTCATCGGCGTCCTCGATATCGCTGGGTTTGAGATTTTCGAGATCAACGCCTACGAGCAGCTGCTCATCAACTATACGAACGAGAAACTGCAGCAGTTCTTCAACCACCACATGTTCGTCCTCGAGCAGGAGGAGTATGCGCGCGAGGGGATCAAGTGGGAGTACGTCAACTTTGGGCTCGACTTGCAGCCCACGATCGACCTCATTGAGGCAGGCGGCAACGTCATTGGCATTCTCAGCTGCCTCGATGAGGAATGCATCATGCCGCGCGCGACGGATCTCACCTTCACGAACAAGCTTCATGGCCTGTGGGCGGGCGGACAAGACAGCGATCACCCGCACCCGGGGCGGGACAAATACGAGCCCACGCGGTTCGACCAAGGGTTCATCGTACACCATTATGCCGCCAACGTGGAGTACCGCACAGAAGGGTGGCTGGAGAAGAACAAGGATCCACTGAACGACAATCTGACGCGCGTATTGGCGGCGTCGTCTGATCGGTACGTCGCGTCGCTCTTCGCTGAGTACGCCGACGCGCCTGTGACGCCTGCCGGTTCTGGCGGCGGGAGCATGTTCGCTGCGGGGAAGAAGCGTGCGATGAAGAAGGGTGCGTTCCGCACGGTCGCGCAGCGGCACAAGGAGCAGCTCTCCAGCCTCATGTCCCAGCTCCAGGCGACCCAACCCCATTTCGTGCGCTGCATCGTACCCAACTCGAACAAGAAGCCCGGGCGCGTCGACATCCCGCTCGTGCTCGACCAGCTGCGATGCAACGGTGTCCTCGAGGGCATCCGTATCGCGCGGCTGGGATACCCCAATCGCCTGCCGTTCGTCGAGTTCCGACAGCGCTATGAGGTGCTTACGCCTGGTATCATCCCGCGCGGGTACATGGACGGCCGCGAGGCTTGTCGACGTATGGTCAAGTCGCTGGAGCTCGACGACGCGATCTTCAAGATTGGGACGTCCAAGATCTTCTTCAAGGCTGGGGTGTTGGCCGAGCTGGAAGAACGGCGCGACGCGTTGTTATTTGAGATCTTCTCGCGCTTGCAAGCGGTTGCAAGGATGTGGACGGCGCGGAGACAGATGAAGAAGGTTTTGAACCGGGCGGTGGCTATTCGGACGATACAGCGGAATGCTCGAGTGTATGGTGCGCTGAGGGAGTGGCCATGGTGGCAGCTGTATACGAAGGTACAACCCCTCACGCCGTTGATCGACCTACGGCTCATTTTTTTTAACAGGTCCGCCCGCTCTTGGCTGCAACACGCAACGACGACGAGCTCCGGAAGAAGGACGCCGAGCTCATGTTGATCAAGGAGCGCGCCGAACGAGACAAACAGGAAAGGGAAGCGTTAGAGAGCCTCAAGATGTCTTTGGAGACGGAGAAGAGGAAGGTCGAGGAGGAGCTCGAAGCTGAACGTGGTCTCGCGCTGGACAAGGATGCGCTGCTCGAACGAAGTAAGAAGCGTGAGAGCGAGCTGGAGGACGAGGTTGCAGCCCTCCAGGGCGATCTCGAGCTGCTTGACTCTCAGCTTGACCGCGTGCTCAAGATCCAGAAGGAGAGCGAGGAGAAACATGATAATCTTCGCCAGATGTTTGACCAAGCTGCTGAGCACCTGGTCCGTCTGGAGACCGAGCAGAAGGAGTGGACCGCACGAGAGGTCGAGCTGAGCGCTCAACTGGCGGAGGCGCAGCAGGGATCAGATACCATGCGCACCAATCTCGACGAGCTGCACAAGGTTAGCGAGGAGCTCAAGAATCTGGCGCTTCAGCGAGAAGAAGACTTGGCTCGCGCCAAGGAGCGAACAGACACCACTGTGACGGAACTCGAGGGAAAGCTTGAAGGGGAGCTTCGGAACACGTGAGTTTTGTTTTTTCTCCCTAGGTTATTCTTTTGGTTGCTCATGTACTACAGCGAGACTGTGAAGCGGAAGGCCGAGGAGTTGGAAGAGAGTGGTCGACAAATGCAGCAACAACTTGCGGAGCTGTCTCGCACCACAGCCGACTACACGCAGGTGATCCAGCAGAAGGAGGCTGAGATTACTTCCCTTTCCAAACAAGTCGCGTCGATGAAGAAAGTTCAAGGGGAAGCACTGACGGAGATCCTCGCACTTCAGAACGATATCAACACGCTTGAAACTCAACTGGAGGCGGAGCGGGGAGACCTGCAGAATGAGACGGATACGCGGGCGAAGCTCCAGGCGGAGCTGGACGAGCTCCGGACACTAATGAAGGCTAAGACGAGCGAGGCGAGTCGACGGGACGAAGTTGAGAAGAGCAAGGAGCAGGAGTTGTCAGACCTACGGCACCAAACTCAACGGTTACAGCACGATCTTACCGAGGGCCGCCGTCAGTTGCTGGCTACGCAGAAACAACTCAAGCTGGAGCTCGATACATCGGTCCGCGAGCACACTTCACTCCAAGAGAGTCACAAATCCCTTTTGGAGCGAGAGCGCCGCGCGCAGGCCGAGCTGTCCACGGCTCAGACTGCGCTGTCAGATTTGGAGAGAAGCAAGCGTTCCCTGGAGTCTGAACTGCAGTCGTTGCAAACCCGCCAGAGTGACTCGGAAGGTCAACTAGCTGACATACGAAAGGCGAAAGAGGTAATGCAACCAAATTTGTGTAAACCCATTACGAAAGCTAATAACATTCAGGCTGTGGAGCGCCAATTGAGCGTGCTTCAAGGGAAATACCACGGCCTTGAAGACCTCATGCTCCAGATGGAACGGGACAAGGGTACTCAGGACCGGCAGCTCGAAGCGATGCGAAAACAGCTTGAGGGCGAAACGGCGAAACGGACGCAACTAGACAAGGCGGTTTCCGCCCATAAAGCTGAGCTCGGCAAGCTGAAGGATCTCAATACCCAGCTTGACGCCGAGTTGAACGCGGCATTGACGGAGCTCAAGACCCGGGAGACGGAGGCGAGGCAGTTCGAATCCAAGCAGCACACAACAATCGTCGAGCATGTGCACGTCCTCGAAGAGGCAAAGCGGGTGACAGATCGGCAGCTGGCGGACGCCCAAGCTGAGCTCCAGAACAACTTGGCGTATATTCGATCGCTGGAGAAGGCGAAACAGCGGCTGACAAGCGAAGCGGAGGACTTGACGCGTGAGACGGAGCGAGAGCGCCTTGAACTCAAGACGAAAGAGAAGACAGTGCGGGCGCAGGAGGAAAAGATGTCCAAGGCGCTGGCGGATGCGGAGCGCGTGCGCAAGGACAAGGATATTTCGGAGCTGCAGACGAGGCGGCTGCAGATTGAGCTGCAGAGTGCGCAACGACAGGTCGAGGAGCTGACGCAGAAATACAAAGAGGCGCAGCGGTCGTTGGATCAACTGGATGGGGACCTCACGCGACTTGCGGATGATACCGGCGAGGCACCACGTTCGATGCATCGACGCATCTCGCAGCTAGAGGGGCATATGATCGACGCCAAAGCCCCGCGCGTGTCGTATGGCGGCGCCCTCAACAACAACGTTGGTGACTGGAGGAGGGAGAAGGACCGTATGGAAGCCAAGGTCGCAGACTTGACCAAGGCTTACGAGGCGTCGATGGCCGCACAGGCCGAACAGCGCTCGCAGATTGGTTCTCTGCATTCACAGGTGCGAGAGCTGCGTCGTACGTTGGACGACGCGGAGGCGGACCGGGTCGTGCTCCAGAGGGCGCGCCGCGCACTGCAGTCGGAGCTCGAAACGATCAGCAACGATCCTGTAGACGGCGCTGGGCAGGTGCCGACGGATCGCGAGTTCCACAAGCTGCAGCTCAAGCAGCTGGAGCTAGAGCGGTCATTAGAGGAGGAAGGGTACCGGGCGTCCAACTCGCTAGACCGGATGAAGAAGGCAGAAGCATATGCAAACGAGTGCCAGGTAGAGCTGGGCCGAGTGCGTGTTGATAATTCCGAGTTGGACCGGTTAAATGTGGGTGTTAAATTCCTCTGATTCTGCAACTCTTGCTAATGACGTTGGCAGGCCAGTCTAGAAACGCAAGTCAAAGAGCTCAACGCTCGAATCAAAGAGCTCGAGTCCAAGCCATATAGCAATTCTCCTCGGCCGGCTGCACGACGCGAGAGTCGCATCGAGGAGCTGCAGAATCAGCTTCAGACCAGACGCTGATGCCCGGGACCTTTTTGTCGTTGTTGTTGCTATGCCAAGTACTAAGTTATCCCACCATCTGTATTGTAGCCGTTGCATTCCATCTATATTCTAATGGACTTTTATCCTCGTCTGTGCTACCTGTATGGCTCGTAAACCCTAAGATACTTTATACTTGGTAGCAGTGGAGTTACGCATACTCGACCGCAATGAGTCAACATTTTAGGCACCGGCGTCTCGATAGTATTCATTTAGCGAGGCGCAAAGAATTCCAAAGCGGCCCCCCCCCCCCCCCTTTTTTTTTTTTTTTTTTTTTTGATGGGGTGACAGCGTGACGTCGTCACACATCATCCATTTGTTTCAGCGGCGATTTGAGGCCTATCCGGGCTCTAAAAGAATTAGGACGAAGCCAAATGCAAGAAAAAGGGCCCAACCGGGAATTGAACCCGGGACCACACACATAGCAGCTTAACTAGTAAGCGGGAAAACCCGAAGCGTGTATCATACGTCTAGACCATTGGGCCGCGGAGGATCTGCGTGTTTAAAATAACTTAACGTGCTTCGCCTTGGGCACCGGAAGACTCTGAACAGCGTCCCAGCAATTATGTAATTGGCGTGTCAACGCTTCCACAATGGCACAAAATATCGCGCCTTGATCGCGCCTGGATAATTCCGGACACTCGACCGCAAGCCCGCTACCTGAAAATTTGATCGAACTGGCGACCCAAGAAAGTAACGTTCTTCAAAGACACTGAGGCGGAGATAACAGGAATTATTTGCAGAAATCTGTTGTGCTGAAATTCTGCGGCTTCTGTGGCTTCTTCCTGGTGCAACTTCTTCTCATTACCCTCTGGCACGAATCGCATATCATCTTACGGCTGTCCGAAACATTTATCGGCGTAACCTATGTACATGAGTTCTAAATGGCTTGTTGAGTTCCAGCAGTGCTCACTGCTAATTAATTGCAACATCAAGTCCCATGCTTGGGTCCGACGGGCCCCAAATTTAAAGTCTTGAGCAGGTCCCACTGATGTCTAGAATCTTAAAGTCTTGCGGCGTAACGCGTGAGACTTGGCGAGACGACGAATATACTACTTAGTTACTAAGTAGTATATTCGTCGTAATAATAATAATAATAATTATATAGTGCAAAGAACGCGTCGCGTGCATCATGGTCACGGGATCGTTCAATGATTGATGGATGAATATTTTTTGCTCTTACTTCTATGAATGCTTTCGAGGGCGGGGCATGTTCGCAGTGGGCGGTGGTCCATCCTAGTCTCTCGCCGATGCATCAGAAGACACAGCTCGCTGCCTCCCGAGTTCGAGGCCCTCTTCGATGACCACCCGCCCCCTCAGTCGCAGCCTGCTGCTTTACCTCTCGACGCCATCGTCAGCCGTTCTCTACCGGCCAAACCCGTCTCCTGGCCCGCCGTGCCAAGGAGGAAGGGCTCGCAGACCCTGGCCCGCGAGTTCCGCGCGTGCATTGCCGCAAACGATATCATTGCCGCTCTCGCCATCCTACGAGGTGTCTCGAAACCATACCCCCGTCTCCTTGCCCATGCCGCTGTTCACGCTCTCCTCCGCGTGGATACTGACCGCGCAGGGAACTTTTTGCTTGCGTTTGCCACCGAACCTACCACATTCGCGAAACCGCCTCGCATGCATCCACTCACTCTCGATAAAACGATCAAGGCCCTTTTGAATATGATTCCCAGGACGCAGGGCCGTCAGGACCGCGCCCGGTGTCCGAACAATGCCAGCATACTCTCACTCGACGCCGAAATGGTTTCCGAGCCCTGCCTCCGCACTGCCCTTGCTCTCTATCTGCGAGCGAGGAAACTCTTCGTCCCCCGTCGCAGAGAGGCCACTATGTACCTCTGGAGAGCCCTTTTGGACCAGCGCGAGTTCCTCCCCGCTGCACTTTTCTTTCAGCAGCAGGTAACCGACTTTCAGCTCTACAAGAGCCTGCCTTCCATCTTGCACTCTCCGGATCCCGCCGCCCCGCTGCTTACTCCCCACGACCGTGAATACCTACGCCGTCGTCTCGCAGCTCTGGATGCGGAAAGAATACGACCCAGTGAATCCCTCTTCGCGGATGTGTGCTACCGCATTCACGGCGTCCTCTCCAGCATTATCAGACATCCAGAGAGCGGCTACGTGTCCCAAGATCTCAACGAGCCCCAGCGAGACGTAGCCCACACTATCGTCGGCTCCGAGACTGCTCCCTCTAAACGCTTCCCCGACACGGACCCAGACGGCGCGTATGCAGAGGCCGCACCTCGCGAACCTCGAGGGCCGCTCACATCTTCGCGCGCAAGGTATCATGTCCACATCGCCCTTCAAGCTCTCACCATCCTTGGCGCGTTGGTGCATACCCGCCAAATTCCTTTTCCTGAGATTGCGCGATGGATTCACACCGTCGGAAATGCAAGTTTCGTGCTTTTCATAGCTCTCTCTCTCGATTGACTTGTTTTTTGTAGATTCCGCCCGCGCTTGAATCACACCAGGTGTATACAAGGATCAACGGCATTCCTACCCTCGTCGTTGCCCGCGACCACCTTCGCACTGTTTTGGAGGCGTATACTTGCGCGCTCCCTCGCACACCGCATATCTTTAGCACATTCCATTTCAGTTCTGGTGGCCGTATTCGCAGGGGGCTCCAACACATGCTAGTCAGGCTCGAGCTCAAGAGAGCAGAGAAAAGTACGACAGCGGGAACCGACTCTGCTGATGAGACATTTCCGAGGACTCGCTTCTCTCCTCCCGACGACCCGGTCGAGGCTGCTGACGACAGTTTCATGCCCCCACCGTCTCTGCCCACCTTGCAGTCGCTGCTTGGCGTCTTTCTCAACGACACGCGTGCACTGCTCTATGAATATTCGCCGTCGAAGATCGCCGCCGCCGCAGATTTTGAGCCGGAACACAAGACTCGAGCCACACCACTCGACCGCGACGACTGGATGGAGGAGCGTGTCCACCAGCATTACCACGCCCCGCGCTCTCCGAACAACCCAGATCCTCGTCTCAAGTATCCCGCTCACCCACTCGACTTTGCCGCATACCCCGCGCCGCCGGTTCCTCCTCTTTTGGCGCCCGACGCTGTTTTTCTACCCTCGTCCAAGCTCGGAGGCGGGGAAAGCCAGCGCCATCGGGCCGAGCTCGCGGCGCGCGTACTCCAATACATGATGCACGAACGCAATCCACGGTTGCCGCCGTGGCAGTCGCCTCAGATGATGCGGCTGTTGTGGCGGCGCACGGACGTCTTGCAACCCGTATTGGAGAAAAGGGGGTTGTGGGACGAGCTGTGGACGGGAGCCGCTCAGGCACAGCGGGAGGCAGAGAGGCGCGAGTCGGCGGCTCGGAGCCTTACTGGCGCGCCTTCGTTGGACGACCACGTCAATCGCGAAGAGGAATGGGAGGTCGAGAAAAGGTTACGAGCACAGAGGGATGTTGAATGGGAGGAGCCGAGGACGGACTGGTCGTCTCGCGCTGAGGATGAGGATCCTAAATACGCTAATAACGATGCTAATAACGATTATTAAATGCTTCAATCTTTCCGACTTCTTGCACTTTTCACAAGGGTCCTCGGGCCATCAGCGTGACATATTGTGACCAGTCGTATGCGTGACAAATCGCGTACCGCTTGTCTCGTACCTTCACCGTCTTTTTTTTGTTCTCGGAGCTCTCCAGACTTGCAGCCACTGCAGCCGCTGCGAGACTTTCCTACTTTTGCTTTATCTAAACCCCGCAAATAATCGACCCGAATGTCGACTGCAAAAGCTCGGACAGCCCACGCGAAAACTATCCTCGGCCCAGAATTACATGGACGCCTCGCTGATACCAAAGTTCTCCTTGTCGGTGCCGGTGGCATCGGCTGCGAACTCCGTGAGTGACCGTACAGCATGTTCGGAAACCGGCGCTTAACACTGTCTCCTTCGTTCACGCTGCTCTAGTGAAAAATATCGTGCTAACGGGCTTTGGAAAAATCACTCTGTTGGACCTCGACACGATCGACCTGTCAAATCTTAACCGCCAATTCTTGTTCCGCAAAAAGGACGTCAAGCAGAGCAAAGCCTTGGTATGTGTGCCACCCATTTGGTTTCAAGCATTCAAGGCGCGCAGCTGGAGGAGAATCGTAACTGTCGATAAAGGGCTACCTTACAGCCTGAGACCGGACCCTCGTCGACTCATTTGCCTCATCTGCACGTTGCCCGACGCGCCTGCTAATCACCGCTGCAGGTTGCCGCACAAACTGCCGCGCCTTTCAACCCCAACGTCCAAATTACTCCCATATACGGGAATATCAAGGAGCCGCAATACGACCTCGAATGGTTCCAGCAATTCGACATCGTGCTCAATGCCCTGGATAATCTTGGTCCGTCTGCGTTAACTGGACGCCGAAGCCATTTTTGACTGACCTGATGTAGATGCGCGGCGACATGTGAACAAGATGTGCATGGCGGCCAAGATTCCGCTCGTGGAGAGCGGCACGGCGGGGTACTTGGGGCAGGTCCAGCCGTTGATCAAGGTGCGTTGTCGTTTATGGTGTACCGAGTTTGCTTGAGCTTTGCGCGATAGGACATGACGGAGTGCTTTGACTGCATAGCGAAACCGACTCCAAAGACCTTCCCGGTTTGCACAATCCGTTCGACACCCAGTCAGCCGATACATTGCATCGTGTGGAGTAAAAGTTATCTCATGGGGTGCGTCCTTTTGACTTGTCGAAATCCGATATTCACCCTGGTACCAGACAGCTGTTTGGGGAAGACGAAGACGCCGTTGGTGAACTGGACGAAGCGGAGAGGCAGGGCGAGAATGGTATGCGTGATTTCACCCTTTTTATTCCTTCCTCACATTTCTTGCGTTGAAAGCTCAAGAAATCGCCACCCTCCGACGGGAGGCTCAAGCATTCGCTGCCGTTCGTCAGGCGTTGCGGTCCCCTGCGGCTTCTGGCGCCGCCAAACAGGTCTTCCAAAAGGTCGTGCTATTCATCCATTCCCTAGACCTTTCGCTGATACCCTCCGCAGGTATTCGATGCCGATATCCGCAACCTACTCATCATGGCAGATATGTGGCGCGCACGCGCCCCGCCTGTACCGCTTGACTTTGATGCGATCCTGGATGGGACTTTTGTCCTGCGCCCTGAAGAGCCTGCTCCTGGCGCCGCAGTGGCAAGTAACGGCAAAGTCAACGGAGTAGCGAAATCTACCAACGCGACGGCGAGTGGGTCTAAAGCCCCGACCAACGGGGCTGCTGTTAGCCGCGACGCAGGTGCCACGCCAGCGGCGGGATCTGGCTTGAAAGACCAGAAACAGCTTTCGTTAAAGGACAACGTACTGCTGTTCATTTCCAGGCAGGTGCCGACTGGAGGTCCTGCCCAATCTTACTAACGTTAGTGCAAACAGTACTGAGCGTTTGGCGGCGCGTCTACAGGCTGGGGAGGAGACTATCGCATTCGACAAAGACGACGACGACGCGCTCGACTTTGTGACCGCTACCTCCAACTTGCGCTCTGCGGCGT